GTTTGCAACTGACGTGTTGACGTGGAGTTGCTGTTGGGAACGGAGCGATGTTTGGAACTTCTTGCGGTTCGGTGGAGTTTGTTTGCAGCCGGCTTGTGCTAGGAATGTGGTGCCATTTGCAGAGATGCCTTTGAAGTCGACAAGCCTGAAAGGGTTTTCGCAGCCAGCATCAATGCAACACGTCTCAGATTGTTGTGCACGTTTCTGGCTTGTACGTGCGCATCAGCGGTCTATATTGTTTCATCACCAACATCGACGGAATGCGAGCTTGCAGCGGACCTGATCCGAAGCAAAGATGAAATGCACACGCTGCGCCCTTTCTGACCGAGTCCTGGGGAACACAACGAGAGTTCTGCAATTCTGAGCTTCAATGAAACCATGGGACATATCGACATGTGATTGCAGAGATCGAGCTGGTTGGAACTTGGAAGTGCGACTGGGGAAATGCCGTTTGTGTTTGTGCATCAGGACTTGATATTAAAGTACATGGTGGCCTGACGCCTTTGATCACGAGTCAATAATTGATGGATGAGGCGTATTCTGTTGTTCTGTCCGTGTGCCACAGCAAGGATGAAATGCACACGCTGCGCCCTTTCCGACCCAGTCGTGGGGAGCACAACGAGAGTTCTGCAATTCTGAGCTTCAATGGATACCATGGAACATATCGACATGCGGTTGCAAAGATCGAGCGGGTTTGAACTTGGAAGCGCTGCTGGGGAAATGCTCGTGAATCAGGACTTGATATCAAAGTACATGGTGGCATGACGCCTGTGATCAAGAGTCAAAAATTGATGGATGAGGCGTATTCTGTTGTTCTGTCTGTGTGCCACAGCAAGGATGAAATGCACACGCTGCGGCCTTTCCGACCAAGTCATGGGGAGCACAATGAGAGTTCTGCAATTCTGAGCTTCAATGGATACCGTGGAACATATCGACATGCGATTGCAAAGATCGAGCGGGTTTGAACTTGGAAGCGCGGCTGGGGAAATGCTGCTTGTGTTTGTGAATCTTGACATTAAGTACATGCTGGCATGGCGCCTTGATCAAGTTTCAAGAAGTGATGGATCGGGCACATTCTGGTTGTTTCTGTCCATGTGCCACACAGCAGGGATGAAATGCACACGCTGCGCCCTTTCTGACGGAGTCGTGGGAAACACAAAAAGAGTTCTGCAATTCTGAGCTTCAAGGGATACCATTGACGCATGTACTTTCCATCAACGTTCGGTACTCTTCTTGCATGTTTGCTTGGTCTGCCTATCTTTTGCAAATGATGTGGCGGACGGCACATGCTGTTTACTGGAGTGCTGAGCGCTTGCTGATGTGAGTGAGTGCCCTGACCTGCTCAGTGCGGAATGCTGGAGGGTTGCAAAACAAGAGATACCATGGAACATGTCGACATGCGGTTGCAAAGATCGAGCGGGTTTGAACTTGGAAGCGCGGCTGGGGAAATGCCCTTTGTGTTTGTGAATCAGGACTTGATATCAAAGTACATGGTGGCATGACGCCTTTGATCACGAGTCAATAATTGATGGATGAGGCGTATTCTGTTGTTCTGTCATTTCTGTCCATGCGCCACAGCAAGGATGAAATGCACACGCTGCGCCCTTTCCGACCCAGTCGTGGGGAGCACAACGAGAGTTCTGCAATTCTGAGCTTCAATGGATACCGTGGAAGGGTATCTTCACGCTGATGGAGCTGACCTTGGAAGCGTCATGCGCGCTTGCAAGTCCGGAGGTCTTGGTTGGCGGCGAATTTTCGATGGCTTTCTGCGGCATGATCTTGCGGTTTTGAGTCTAGGAGGTTCGTGCTGTAGAGAATGTAGGATTCTCCATGTTTGCTCACACATCACGAACAGGGTCCTTGCTGTATTGATTCTGGCTAGGTAGACCCTGTACGCCTGGGAGCTACGGAGATTGTGTGGCTGGCCAATCTGTGCCGTGCTTACCTTCGGCCTACCTTTGCAAACAATGGCTTCTGATTGCAGAGGATTGCTGTCGTGATATTAAAGCTGGCTGCTGTCAGGCGATTTCCAGATGAAACTGTGGAGGCCATCAACGCGTACTTGGAGGAGCACTGTGCCTTCCCTAGTAATTTGTGTGGCAAACTGTTGGGTCATGTGTTGAGCACAAAGTGACTCAGGCGCCAAAGAGGTGGATGCGGTGGCATCAAACTCAGATTTCAGATGTTGGCATATGCTATGGCTGTTCAAAGCCAAGAGGGATTTTAGCCGTGCCTCATGGTTCCAGGAAAGATCAACCCTGGCAACCCCGTGCAGGTTGCAACTCTTCGGGAATGCGCTTTTCAGCGGCCGCACGAGCGCTGGACCCTGCAGGCAAGAGCTGAGAGAATTAGGTTTAGTGTTTTCTCGTGGAGCTTAAGTCACGACTGAGTCACGCACAAGCTGTTTCACTTCAACTTGGCAGGTTTCAATGAGCTGGAATCCACATGGATGGCCAGTCTTCTGTTACTTCTTGCCGCGTGGGGATGATGAGCATAAGTCAGGGCACCGAGCGGAAAAGAGCGTGGTGTGCATGTACGGTGCAGTGCCTCACGGCCGCATGCCTCAAATTCTATATTTGGCCCGTCGTCTCGGAGAGCTTCTCATGGATAGGGTGTACCAGCAAAAAGACGCAGCATTTCATTCTGCTCATGCTTGGTGATCTGAGCCATTCAGACTTTGACTCGGTGGATGACTCTAAGCACCCACTGGTTCATGGGAAGACATGGAGACATGTACCATGCTCATCAATTAGAAGCATTGGGCGCCCACAGCTCCACAAGCTCTAGCTGTTTAGATTTCCGTGCCTTGTTTCGGCAGATCCACGGGTTCGTGAGCTGACCTGCTAGAAGCTCAGCAAAGGGGTGTGCTGACCAATCCAGCAGGAATCAGGAACCTGTTTGTGCACAAGGCAGCATGCAACCGTCCAGTCACTTGAGTCAGCACCTGTTTGAGGAGGTTGTGCAAGCGTGGTCTTTAGTTTATTCGCTCACATGTGCAACAGAGTAACATGTCGAGATCTTGACAGCTACAACGAGAGGGCCCCCCAAAGAGGTGAATGTTGAAATCTTTGGCATAGTTTTCGAAATTGTTCACTGGGTCGGGTTACGTGGCTGATGCTAACTGAGCTTCAATAGTGCATCACACTCCTGCTAGGTGTAAGCAGGACTACATTTGAGAGAGAGAGAGAAAGCGAGTTTGCATGGACCTGACTTGAGACCATGCGCAGCTCGGGGCTCCGCTCCGGGGCGGGGGGGGGGCGGTAGTGCCTCCCATAGCCAGGAGAAGAAGAAGACTTTTGCATGTTCTGCACCTAGGTGGATTAAGTACAACATTTGACATGGGCCTCAGGTAAAGATGGAGACAGCGGCTTTCCTGGCTCCAGCATGGGGCTGGCTTCTCATTGCTCACCGCTGATGAGAATCAGTTATGTGCTTTTGCGTGTGGTGAAGTTGTTGGCAGCTGAGGACCCAGTCCAGCAGCACCATCCCTCCCCGCGCAGCATGCGCACCGACAAGCCCGACAATCGAGCAGGCCGGAAGCAAGAGATGACTGATGAGTCACTGACGAGTGCAGGCCTGGTTTTAATTAAACGGAGCAGTCTGATTAATGGTAGCTTGCGTCAACATCACTTAAAACATGGTGTCTGGTGCCATTTTGGGTCAAGCACCAGCTTTTGAAGAAGAAGATAGGGCCTTG